AGGTGTTTTGCCCCCTGGGTAGAACCTCTGGTTATGAAACCCTGCCATGCAAGATGGCATATGGTGCGTTCAAGTCATGTTGGAAAGATCGATTTTATGAGCTGAATGCACATAAATGGCAAAATGTTGACAATATGAGTTGGGAAGCTTAGGATTTTCTTAAAGCATAGGGGCCTGATGTATAAACGTTGCGGACGCACAAAATGGGCATAGAAATATGCGTACGCATTTTTCCACGCGCACATCGGGATTTATAAAAATAAACTTGGCGTAAATAAGTGTGTACCGTAAGGATGCTCTTGACCATGCATACGCACTCTTTTAGAAGAGTATGGGTTTTGGCGACACCGATGGTGAGCTGGAGTCAAATGTCTTTTTGCTCACTATTAGACAGAGAATCTAAAGAAAATTATACATCTACAGAAAGATAATACAAATATAATTTCACAAACCTATCATCACTTGAAGCAAACATCCATCCCTTCTTAAATGACCACGCCAGCACGCGCGTTGGGCCGTTTGGTGAAACTGACGCACATATAATATAGCCTATAATCTAACGGCAGATGGAGTAAAACCGTAAATCTTCATTATGAATCCAAATCATAAATACAGTCCATATTCACAATAACAGTTTAAATAAATAAGAGAATGGTTTAAACTATGTTTTACTTCTGATATAAACAAAAAGATTGAGAAACTTTCTCTGAAATGTATTTAACACTATTTGATTTCATTCAAAAACAAGGCAAGGATATAGGCTATTAAAATATATATATATGTTTGTAATAATGTGACGGCACATCCGCATTTCATATTTTCCTAAACTTGGTGTCACGTGGATGAATAATCATATGCAAATGATATGCAGATGAGGATATGCATAGTAAAACTAGGCATTGTAATCTCCATATATGGTTATTTCGGGGAGGAGACGCACGTGCGCACAATCTCCCGCTGACTGGGATTTATAAAGTGAATTTTGCGCAGGTTCTGGCGTACGAACGGTTTTATAAATCTGAAAACTTTTGTGCGTACGCAAATTCTGCCTTATGTGCGTACGCACACTTTAAGGATGAAATCTACGCAAGGTTTTATACATGAGGCCCCAGATGTTAGGGCGTGTCAGTGAGAAACATTAGAATAGCATTGTAATATAACAATATAATATAAAATTTTGTTCTTTTATTTTCTAGAATTGTAGAGATTAATTATAGAGATAGAATAGAATTAAAAAACACATTAGTGTGGCGTTAATCATGAGAAGGTTCAAACAAACTTCCCGAATACAAACTTCCCAGGAGGCACCAATATTCCTGTTTTTGAACTCAATCTGTACAGAAGTAATTTTTCCAAATCTTATAATATCAAAATTGGAGTTGTGTGGCTTTTAGTGCATGTGTGTCAGCTTTGGTGGCATCTGCAAATGCACTTATAAAGGTTGATGAAAATATGTCTCTTTTTTAAAGAGAAAATGTACTGTAAATATAAATGAAATCATCTTAATGACATCATCTTGAACTCAGGGGCGTGCCCAAATTTATGACCAATCAAATGGGGTTATTGTTTTTGTTAATTAAGTAAAGCTGAAATAAAATGTTAGATGGGAAAAACTTGAATTTATAAAACTTAAAGATGTTTCTTCAGCAACTAATTTATAATAAGTTAAAGGTGCTCTAAGCGATGTCACAGGTTTTAGGCCCAAACATTTTTTGTCACATACAGCAAACATCTCCTCACTATCCGGTAGCTGCTTGCCCCCTAAACACACTGTAAAAAACGCGGTCTATGGAGACAACCCAGGCTCCACAAATGGCAACAAAAACAAACTGCGGCAACCCGCTCCACGAAACATAACAAACTCTTCCAGCCAATAACTGACAAGATGGCCATGGGGGTGGGGTCTGGGGGGTCAGTGCACGGATGAGGAGGAGGGAGTGTCTATCTAGCCTCCCTTTTGTTTGAAAATACTTCAAACGTTAACAGGAAGTCACGTCACCCGACATCGCTTAGAGCACCTTTAAAGTACTAATACTAAAACTAAAACAAAATAAATGTAAAACTAAATAGAAAAAAATTAAATAAATAAATAAATTAAAAGTCCTACACGTCCTGCTCCAATGGATCTTTAGATGGTGGTGGTTTAAAAATATGGCTCATGATAAGAGGAATACGCTGAAAATATGTGATCCTCATTAAAAATGTAGAAATGTGCAAGATACATTATTGAAGGAGTCGAGCACCCGAGCCTTTGACTATGTAGGGGAGTTGTCATGTCTGATTCCTCTCGCTCTTCCTTTAAATATATTAAACACACAGAGAGCTCTATCTCAAGCTCCCTACGCCTGCCATGAACCGCTATAGAGAAGGCAAACAAGTCAACGGCCTGAGTGGTCGGATTAGAAATAGAACATCTTCCTTTGGGGAATGCATCTGCGATTGTTGAATTATACAAGCTTTTCTGAGAGCGAGCATGCATTGCTCCACACAAACACTGCACATGTTTGAAAAACCAAGGCTGTTATACAGTGTAGGCAAAATAGCCGTACTGTTCTGGTTTTCTCAAATTAACATGAACAGAAGGTTGAAATAAACCAATGTCCTTTCAAATTTGAATCAAAGATCAATGGGATATGTTGCCTCAAGCCCTGTTTAGTCACATGTGCAGACTCTTAGTGGTTTTTTTTTTTTGCATCGAACAAATACACTAAGAATGTGTTGTGTAAGTTATTTTTTGAGTTATGTAACTTGCCATAGGATTGAACATATGAGCTCACTGGGACTGTTGTTCATTTTAAATGTGGACATTCCCTATAAAGCACCAAATCAATGGAGGCATTTAAAGGTGAACTCTGGCGCAAAATGACCTTTGGTCTAATAAACATTGGTACCTAGTCGACCGTTCTCTGAGATATGTTTTCATGATAATCGAATGTAAAGATTTTTATCTCTAAATACTGTTTAGCGTATAATGCTAGTAATGGGGGCAAATAAGTAAAAAGAATTTGCTAGTTTATACCACTAACAAGGCTCAAAATAGCCCCACACTAACACAGTAACATAATGAGGGTTCCTACATGCAAAACGAAGCATTGAGAACTTTGTAAGTGTACAGACCGTTTAATAAGAAGATATTTTATAAAGACAGTCCACTTCTTGTATACAGGCGAACCACAAACGCCGTTCATACAGTTCAGAATTTCGCTGAACTTCATACAGTTCAGCTCACTTAGCACGTCGTTCGTGGTTCGACTAGTCGAGACTGTTTTCCAAAGATGTCGCCGTCTATATACACGAAGTGAACTGTCTTCATAAAATAGGGCTGTTGGAACGAATTCCGAAATTCGAATATAATTTGAATATTTAAAAAAACAATACTATTCGAATGCTGAAGTTACTATTCAAATATTGCTTTTATATATATTTAAAAAAAGATATATCTATATATGCAATCTTTCTCGTGGCTTACACGCATTTGAAAATGAAATGCTTTTGTTTTGTCTAATGAACAATAAAGTTTTTGAGTCGTAACACAATTGTGCACGTTATCCAAGCTGTTAGGCAATATTAGGGTTTCCCATACAGACATCCGGGAAGATCTGGGAGGCTCCCGCGTATTGATAGTGTCTCCCTTATGCCTGCAAATTAGTTAAAATCTCCCGGAATCTAGAGCGAGAAAGAACATACTGCGGCGCGTGCATGGCAGAGAGGGAGAGAACGAGACCTTGCGAGTGCCGCGCGAAAGCCAGTCCCGCACGCTCTCCCTTTGCAGACTGATCTCACGAAATGGCTCAAAATGCGTATAGATAACATGCCACTTGACTTGAAAATGGCGTGTATGTTGACGCAAAAGTCTTGATCTTGTTGCCCTTTGGAACACTGCTGCACAAATCACTCCAACGCAGCGCTGTCAATGTCGGAGAACCAGCTTTAAAAAAGTTATTAGCCAGCATGCAAGGAGCCTATCTAAGCTATCTAAGGTGAGCTAAGTTATTATTAGACTACAGCTGTATTTTCGAGGTTGGCAGGCTGTATAGCTGGTAGTTAATATCGATGGACACGCGTTGTTCCGCTTTTTTATTGTTAATAAGAAAGCGATCTAAATGTTTATTGTATTAATGTTAGATGTCCCTCTAGTGGTAAGAACGTGTAACAACAACCACAGGATATAGTGGCATTGGCGGTCCATAAGAATGTGTAATGTCGTAAATATTAATAATAGAATGAATTTGAGCATTTAATATTCAAATATTATTCGAATATTACATAAAATATGGAATGGAATTTGAATAGTATTGTAGAGGAATATTGACAGCCCTATCATAAAATATCTTCTTATTAAACGGTCTGTACTCTTACAAAGTTCTCAGTGCTTCGTTTTGCATGTAGGGACCCTCATTATGTTACTGTATAAGTGTGGGGCTATTTTGAGCCTTGTTAGTGGTATAAACTAGTGATTTCTTTTTACTTATTATATGCCCCCATATACTAGCATTATACGCTAAACACTTTTTAGATATTAAACTCTTTACATTCGATTATCATGAAAACAAAACTCAGAGAACGGTTGACTAGGTACCAATATGTAATTAGACCAAAGGTTCATTTTGCGCCGGAGTTCTCCTTTAAGAGGAGAGATTTCATAAATACTGCATATAGCTTGTGAATATGCTCATTTATATTGCAAAAAGCTGAGTTTTCAGCATCGTTACTCCAGTCTTCAGTGTCACATGATCCTTCAGAAATCATTCTAATATGCTGATTTTGTTTTTATTTTGTATTGCTTGATATTTTTATGGAAATTCATTGATGTTTTAGTTCAAACAAACAATTTATTGGAACGATTATTTTTTGTAACAGTGTAAAAGTCTTTACTATCACTTTTGATCAGTTTAATGTGTCCCTGGTAATACAAATATGAATTAAAAACATTCTTTCATTCACATTTAATATTTAGAGATTTTATATATTGCTTTTATTGCCTGTCGTGTCTATTACAGGCGCTGTCTGTGGACCGTCAGTCTCCTCCGCTGCTTGGTGTCAATGGCTCTAGTGAGGACAAGTTGTTTCGCAGCAAGAGTGCTGACATGGAGCAGTGCATGGAAAAAGAACAGATGAGGAAGATGCTTTCCGAGGGGTAAAATATACAAATATACAAAATCTCTCATGACACTTTCTTTTACTCTCACTTGTCTCCTGTTTGTAATGTCTAATTGCAACATTAATTGAGGGTCAAACTTTAAAATGTATCTATTTTGACATTTTAATTTGCCTCTTATTTTGTAATGGGGAAGAGCATCTTCATATGTTTGTTTCCCTTTATGTACTGTATAACCACAACCGTCTCACTCAGATGCACGTGAATCTAATCAATCCGCCTGATGTACTCTTCCTCCTCAGTGGCTTTCTGGGGTAATTGTCAGTGAGTTTACCATCAAACGTTTTACAGATTCAAGCATGGATCACTTCATCATAATTACAACGCTGAATATGCTGATGTTGATAACATCCCAAAGCCACAGATTCAGGAAGTCAACCTGCAAAATAAGATGATTCTCCTTTAAATCTAAAATCGGACAGGGGTTATTAGTAATATTTTAAAATACAAAGGTGACCCAAAAGAAATGACATTTCAAAACTCAGCCATGTGTGCAATATTTAGCATCTATTGCCATTGAGTACAATTCTTTGAAATGTGTCTTTGCCTCAGGTTTCATAAGGAGAGATTTAGTAACTGAACCCAGATGTTGGTTTGTTCTCAGGTCGATATGTGAGAGGAACTCGGAAGCAGAGCTGTTTTCTCTTCGGGACAGCAACGCTAAGCTTGTAGCCGCTCTTCATGAAGCTAACAGCAACATTGAACATTGGAAAACACAATTAGCCGAGTATCAGGAAGAAACCGATCGCCTCCGAGAGCAGGTGAGGAAAAGGAATAGTTCACCCAAAAATGAAAGTTTACTGATTTACTCGCCCCAATGCCGAGTGCAAGTGGAATGCAAGTGCCCAATGTAGACCATTTTGACAGTCCAAAATTCATGTTTAATAAGTATATTTAAATTCTATTAAGTTTAAAGCGAAATCAGTCATTTTCAGAAAAAAGCCATCACAACTTCACAACTTTACAACTTTATAAAAAAACACAACTTTATATAAAAAAAAAAAACAAAGAAGCTAACTACAAACAATTGGAGGACATAAAAAAACAAAGCAAATTACAAAAAAATAGGACAAATATGTTATGATACAAATTAAATAAAGTATGTTTTTCAGGCACAGTTGGATTATTTTAACATTTACTTAACATCTTTTGTTGTTTGATTAACATCGATACAGACAGCTATTTTAGGCTGCTGTCCCTTTAAGACCAAATGCTTAGATCCAAACTGACACGCTTTTACCAAGCTGTTTACATTCACTTAAGCTATAACTGACTGTATTTACGTGAGATGCTCCACATGATGAGCATTTTGACAACTGTGTCTGTATTTGACCATTCAGGCGCAAAGAGAACTGAATTCAGGATTGTGTCCTGTCTGAGAGAGCACTTCTGGTGTGCGTCATTCAGTACGATACTACATTGAGTTCTTTTTTTCACAACTTACTGCGCATAAAATTTTTTAATAAACTCTTTCTGAAGATTCTGGTTAAGTTTGTCATCTTTCGCATTAGACTTGATCTCCTTCGTGCCCTCTAATATCCCGAATCGATAATGAATTGTGATTGGATGGTACTTTTGTTCTGCAAAATATACTATGATGAGATTGGCTACCTTTTGATTAGGGTGTATTTGCGTGACAGAAGACTACTACTCGCTTTTATGATTACCTAGCAAAGACATTTTAGGAAAGAAGAAATACGCGACAAAACGTGATTTTTTTTTTTTAAATGGACACTAAAGACACTAAAAATAGAGCTAAAATGCAAACTGTCCCTGGGAAAATGGGATGTGTGCTACCCAAATGGGACCCAAAAATGAATGTTCTTTCATAATTTTTCTAACCCTCGTGTCATCCAAACCTGAATGACTTATTTAATCTGCAGAACTCAAGAAGAAATTGTTTTTTTTTTTTTAAGTCAGTGGGCTTCAATGCGTTTTGGACCCCATTGACTTCCATAGTGCTGGACATTTTTTTTTTTTAAATATCTTATTTTCTGTTCCACAGAAGAAAGAATGTCATACAGGTTTGGAACTGTATTGATTGTGTCAATTAAATGTTCATAAGAGTTTGAGGAGGTTTTACCACACTGCTGCTTTTTGAGGACCCCATACTGTAAGAAAAACATCCACATTTAAAGACACTCTCATGTGCAAACAATTTGTTTTAACAGTAGCTCAAGCAAACTGAATATTTTCCCTCAGGCAGTCTTTGGCAGCGTTTTTACACAATCATACATAAATGATTCCACAACACTTTGTAGGTCTACTGAAGCAAACATCAACCAGGTGACGTATATAGTACAGGTCTTCAGAGAGCGTGCGGAGGGATATTTTTAGGAAAAGACAATACACATTCATTGCCCAGAACAGAGAGAAGACAAATGACCGTGGGGAAAATGAGAGCGCTAAGTTTCTCCCTAACACAAACAGAAAAAAACAGAGTTGTGACAGTGCTAAAAGCTCCAGTGCAGTCATGGCCTGCTTTACTTTCCCTCAGGGGTGAGCATGAGTTCAGTGTTTCCTGTGAATTATTACGACCTCTGAAGAAAAGACGCTCAGTCAGAGAAACCATGGCTGTGTGGAAAGTAAAAGCGAGATAGTGACTCCTAGTGTATTTTTCAGTGGGATCAAAAAATCTGAGAACACATTAAAAGGATAGTTCACCCACAAATGAAAATTTTGTCATCTTTTACTCACCCCAAAGTTGTTTCAAATCTGGATGAATTTCATTCTTCTTCTGAAGATATTTAGAAGAATATGGATAACTGAGCAGTTGATATGGGCCCCATTGACTTCCATGTGTGGCGAAAAACAACTATGGAAGTAAATGGCGCCTATCAACATGTGCATATACGTTTAGTGTATAGTCCAGTGTGTTATTATAGGAAATAAATAGAAACATTTTCCCACACATCCCTTATTAAAAAAATAGACTCAAAAACATTGATATTCTACATATACAATGTCATCGATCACTATTTTCCTGAGACACAAAATTAGACCAATTCTAAATCTCACAAATGTTGATATTAAGATGAAAAGACACAATTTAATATAGCGTAGCCATTCATCAAAAGTTCTGAGATGAAATTTTGTGTCTTTTATGGTCAAATTGAGGTGTGTGCGCATGTGCGGCGGGAGTGTCATTTTGCATGTTGTTAATTAATATTACTCAGTAACATGGACACCTTAAAATAGATTATAAGCAAGTTTTTCAAAACCAACATCAATAATAAGAGAACATTTCTAAGAACTTTGCACATGTATTTTAAAGTAGATTTTTACAGTACAAGATTGATGATAGAACTTGAATAGCATTGGTCTGTTGGTTTCATATTTCAGGTTTCAGAGCTGGAGGCTCAGAGCAGGGTTTCTGCTTCCGGTGAGACGGGGAATGAGGAGCTCACACAGTCTGTGGCAGAGATGGAGGCCCTTATCAAAGCTAAAGATGAGGTAAAGATTGCTTTATATAATAACAGTGCCAACTGACACGTCAAGAGACTCCAGTCGTGTCCCAAATGATACACTGACTATACACTATGCACTCACTATGATGCTATGCACTCAACCATTTAGTGTATGCATCTGATATCATTGTTTTGTCATTCAACAAGCCTAATAGCCCACTCCCCCCTCTCCGCTTCTTAAAGCTGTAGTATACGATGTTGAAAATCGGTCGAGAAAGCCTGAAATGGGAGGGAAGTTTTAAAAAACTCATCCCGCCTCTCCACACACACACCCACCCCTCCCCTCTGCTACCTGATTCCTCCCGGGAAACGAATTGAACAACGTCACTCAGTCAAGTTGTGATCATCATACTTTCACAACATTGCTTAGTCGCTTCAATCTAATGACATTGCTAATGACACATCATATGTAAAATTGCCTTTAGACACTTGAACTTAGTTGCTTCATCAACAATTCAATGACATGTTTGAGATCACGCCAACGCAAGATTAGCAACACATGAAATGTTCTACACTACCCACCACCATAAGTATGATATTAGTAGTATTGCGAAGGTTTTGAGTAATTGTTATTGCAGCACACAGCGCATCTTGTTTAAATTCCGATCGGCTCGAACAGAAACCCGCAAGGCGTACTGAAATATAATCAAGCACTTCAAGAAATATATTTACTTTGACCCGTGATAGGCGATGCTAAACAGCTCCAATGCCGACCGGCAGCATTAGCAAGTTGTCAGACTGATAAAAAGCTATTTATGTAACACGTCACGCGACTCACGCCATATAAGAGTATAAATAAATGTTTAACGTTACCTGCTCAACAAAAAGTCAGCAGTGTCAGCATCGGTATTCAGTCCCAGATCTCGCTGAAGCTTGCTCCATCGGTCAATGGTGGACCCTATATTTATTCTCCTCAAATTTTGGCATTCTTCACATTTTCTTGTAGGGGCAAGCAGGGGACGCTTGCTGTTGTCTTTTTCGTTTTTATCCATTGCTGATATGCTACTTAGCTAGCTACCATATGCGGTCAGCTGCTAACACGCACGATTCTCATGACGCAGAAGGGGGGCGCAGTCGGGCGTGGTCGGGTGCGGTGGGGTGGAGACGCGAGCGCCAGGGGGAGTTTCAAGTGTAGCTGGTGATTGGATGAGAGCAGTTGACCAATGTAGCTTTACGGCCGCAAAGCTTTCATTGGTCAACTTTTATGCGGCTGTACAGCCAATAGAGTGAATGGATTTTTTTCGTTCTTTTTTCTATTCGTATTGTTAGGATTGTACTATATAACCATAACCAGCATCTAAACGAGGATATTAATAATGAACAATCTTTGAAATCATATACCCTAGCTTTAAACAAGCATGTAGACACATCACAGGCATGGCCATATTCCAGGATGACAATGTCAAGATTCATCAGGCTCAAATGGTTGTGAGGGAGCACTGTAATGTGGTAGAAACATAATCACTACAATAATGATCCAAACATAGAATTTTAAGTATTTGCCTATTCAAATCCAAACAGGGACTTTTTGGGGGGCTTGCAGTGTATGTGTATACACTCACCTAAAGGATTATTACAAACACCATACTAATACTGTGTTTGACCCCCTTTCACCTTCAGAACTGCCTTAATTCTACATGGCATTGATTCAACAAGGTGCTGAAAGCATTCTTTTGTTAGCCCATATTGATAGGATAGCATCTTGCAGTTGATGGAGATTTGTGGGATGCACATCCAGAGCACGAATCTCCCGTTCCACCACATCCCAAAGATGCTCTATTGGGTTGAGATCTGGTGACTGTGGGGGCCATTTTAGTACAGTGAACTCATTGTCATGTTCAAGAAACCAATTTGAAATGATTCGAGCTTTGTGACATGGTGTATTATCCTGCTGGAAGTAGCCATCAGAGGATGGGTACATGGTGGCCATAAAGGGATGGACATGGTCAGAAACAATGCTCAGGTAGGCCGTGGCATTTAAGCGATGGCCAATTGGCACTAAGGGGCCTAAAGTGTGGCAAGAAAACATCTCCCACACCATTACACCACCACCACCAGCCTGCACAGTGGTAGCAAGGAATGATGAATCCATGTTCTCATTCTGTTTACGCCAAATTCTGACTCTACCATCTGAATGTCTCAATAGAAATCGAGACTCATCAGACCAGGCGACATTTATTCATTTAGCTGACGCTTTTTCCAGTCTTCTTGACCAGCAACATTTTTCCAGTCTTCAACTGTCCAATTTTGGTGAGCTCTTGCAAATTTTAGTCTCTTTTTCCTATTTGTAGTGGAGATGAGTGGTACCCAGTGGGGTCTTCTGCTGTTGTAGGCCATCCGCCTCAATGTTGTGCGTGTTGTGGCTTCACAAATGCTTTGCTGCATACCTCGGTTGTAACGAGTGGTTATTTCAGTCAAAGTTGCTCATCTATCAGCTCGAATCAGTCGGCCTATTCTCCTCTGACCTCTAGCATCAACAAGGCATGTTCGCCCACAGGACTGCCGCATACTGGATGTTTTTCCCTTTTCACACCATTCTTTGTGTGAAAATCCCAGTAACTGAGCAGATTTTGAAATACTCAGAACTGCCTGTCTGGCACCAACAACCATCCCATGCTAAAAACTGCTTAAATCACCTTTCTTTCCCATTCTGACATTCAGTTTGGAGTTCAGGATATTGTCTTGACTAGGACCACAACCCTAAATGCATTGAAGCAATTGCCATCTGATTGGTTGATTAGATAATTCCATTAATGAGAAATTGAACAGGTGTTCCTAATAATCCTTTTGGTGAATCTATGTATACAAACAGCCCATGTAAAACATCCCATTTAAATCCAATGAATTTCCATTGAAAATAAAGTAGAACTTCTTTCTAATTTCATTTTCATTCAAGATGAACAAGTTGGTAAAGAATATTCCTTATTTAAAAATGGTTATTACAGGAAATAAAGACACTGCGGGGCAAGAAACCAGATTTAAGTGAGCTGGAGAAAGAAAAGGAAGAGGCCAGTCAAAGGATGCAGGTACATTTTCTTTATTAATTTTACTACTATGTGGGTACATACTATGTGGGTATTTTCACCAGCTTCGGACTTCACTGTATAAATATGATTATGTTTTAGTGAACTGAGGATGAATGTTTATTTGTCTTGGCATTAAGGACCTGGAAATGAAGAACTCAGAGTTGGAGAAACAAGTGCAAACAGCAGAAAGGGCTTTAGCGTCGTCCCAGGATTCCCGCAACAGGGCAGAGAGTGCTGTGCAGAAGGTCATTGAAACTTTAGACGTCAAGATCTACGATTTGAGCGACCTGCGACAGAACCTAGCCAAGCTCCTGGAGGATTGACCACTGCAGTTGAACAAACATTGCATGGCAAAACCACCAAAATGAGGTCGAAGAGAACTTGTTCTCTACTGGAATGTTCCCAAGCTGCACAACTCGACGGTTCGTCATGGTACTAGACTGGTAGTAAAACCTAGAGGTGATAAGTAGCATGACAATAATATATTTGCATTCACATTCCACATTTTCTCGCTCATAGAACGGAGAATGTTTGATTAAATTAGTCACGAGGAAAACCATAAAGAACCGTCCAAAAGACTAGCTTCTTTTAGACCTGTTTTTTTGGTACTAGATATCAATATAGTTGAAATTGTTGTTGAGATCTGTGATTTGGTTGTGACTAGGTTTCTAAATGAGTAATTCGAGTAAAAATTAGAACAGAACGTTCTGTAGATATAAGCTACTGTTCATGTATTTACCAGTATTATTGTTAGATACATAATTAGAACTGAAGAATGAAAATATCTCAATATTTACGGACACCAGCATGTCTCTGTTAGGACATTTAAGTGATTTAATGGCTCGTTGAACTTGCAGTTTTCCTTACATGCCTCATAGAGTTTGCTTAATGCAATTGACAACATGAGGAGCAGGGAAATCAAAGCACATAGCACTAACAAAACATGATATTTCTCTTAGTAACAAATGATAACGAGCGAATGATTAACCTTGACTTCCCTATTTCATTAACTAGTTTATTCAGCATTTTAACTAGTCTGCTGCAGTCTGTTTAAATATGTAGTTAGTTCTCAATCTAATGCATTTCTGTGAGGATAAACTGGTTGGCAGAGTACTCCGATTCAATTTTCACTGTCTGATTCCATTAGTTCAGATTGACACTTCTAACAGCTACAACCCTTAAAGAGATAGTTCACCCAAAAATGAAAATTCTATCATCGTTTACTCACCTCTCTATGTGTTTATTTGTTCTGCTGAACAAAAAGGAAGATATTTGGAAGAATGTTTTAATCAAACAGATCTCAATCCCCATTGACTTTCATAGGAAAAAATACACACTATGGTAGTCAATGGGGATTGAGATCTGTTTGATTAAAACATTGTTCAAAATATCTTCCTTTGTGTTCAGCCGAACAAATAAACACATAGAGGTTTGGAACAACTTTGAGGGTGAGTAAATGATGAAAGAATATTCATTTTTGGGTGATATATCCCTTTAAGAGTTTTTATAGAATACTAGTTTTCAATACGTCAGCATGCATCTTTATACATACCTTTATATATTTAGTTTTACCTCTTTATAAAAACATGTCTTTAGCCTAAACATTCACTTTAACTGTTGATGTTTCATCGCTTGGACAGCTGCCCTATAACCTCAAAGACATTTGCACATATACTATTTTTCTATTGTGTGCCTGTTATTGTTGGTTTTATATGAGTTCCCAATAAAAGTATTTGCTTCATGTGTACACGTCCTTTAATTTTATGTTTGTTTTCCAACCCCAAACCCTCCCAAGATAGCCTTTATGACAGTTTATGGAGTTAATAAAAAAAAAGTGCTGCACTGATTGCTTCACCATTAGTTTCAGGATAAAATTGAATTATGATAGTTATGGTGCATTTTGAAGCAGTGTTGCTTGCTAGGTTTTTTAGTAGCTTTTTTTAAAATAAATGTGCTTCGTTGTAGAATGATGCATGATACTCAGCTAAATATGATTACCCGCATCGATGAAGCAAGGTCTTATTACCTTAATCTCTAAACCAAATAAAGATAAACATTTTTTAGATAATTGCCGCCCTATTACGTTGCTTAATTCTGATTACAAAATATTAGCTGCAGTATATGCTAGATGTATATTAGTATATTAGCTGCAGCTTTGCTATGCTAAAACCTTGCTTAGAAGAAGTTATCTCATTCACACAATCTGGCTTCATGAAAGGTCGACTAATATTGGTCTTGTTTTAGATCTTTTAGATTACTCCGAGATAGTTAATAATGCACTGATATTGTTCTTAGATTTCTACAAGGCATTTGATACATTAAAGCATACCTTTATGTATGATGCTTTAGGACGATTTGGCTTCGGTCCAAAATTTATGAAAACTGTTCAGACCCTGTATAAATGTACATTATAATGACATACATAATGTGTCATTGGGAGAGGCATCTGGCAGGGCTGCCCTATTTCTCCTTTTTTGTTTCTTTTGGTTGCAGAAATTCTTAAAGGGTTAGTTCACCCAAAAATGAAAATTCTGTCAGTATTTACTCACCCTCATGTTGTTCCAAACCTCTTTGTGTTTATTTGTTTTGTACAAACAGATCTCATTCCCCATTGACTACCATAGTATATATTTTTTCTATGGTAGTCAATGGGGAATGAGATCTGTTAGATTAAAACATTCTTCCAAATATCTTGCTTTGTGTTCAGCAGAACAAATAAACACATAGAGGTTTGGAACAACATGAGGGTGAGTAAATACTGACAGAATTTTCATTTTTGGGTGAACTAACCCTTTAACCTTTATTGTGAATTGTTTGAACATCGAAGACATCCAAATAGCAGACCGCACTATTTTAACCAGTCGACTGGCCGATGATACATGTATTTTCCTGAAGGATAATAGACAAGTCCCCATTATATTAGAAGCATTAAAACATTTTTCAAATGCCTCTGGCCTTTTTGTTAATCAGAGTAAATCAGAGAAAAGGTTAGGTCAATTAATCAATAAATCTCCACATGAAAGAGTTGAAAATAATTTTACAATGTGTTTCAATAAAGCAAAAATGACTAATTTGTTTTTTGAAAAGTGTGGTGGGTTAAACTTTTTATTATCATGTGACTTTAAATGTAGTAAATTTCCCATAAAAGTATCTAATTTTCACAAGCAATCACTAGATGCATGTAAATAGCCTTTAAACACAATTTCTCCCCTCACACATGTATAATATGGAATAAATAACCAGTATGTATTACCTAAAAGAAAAATTATATAAAAAAGAATGGTTTGATGAGGGAATTATTTTTTTTCTGAGTTATTAAATTGTAATGGTGAGATTTACAACAATTTCTTGCTCTCTCAGGGATTGAATCTACATGTAGAGATTACCATATGATTGTTAAAAACATTTCCATTAAATTTCAGCTTGTTAAAGCGCATCTCATTTTTGCAGCAGATTCTGGATGTGTTAAAATTTTGGATATGAAGTGTAACAATTCTTACATCAGAAAGTGTCTTAATCAATATATCAGTTGCTACCCTAAAGCAATTCTGAAATGGAAACCATTCTTTTCTTTTTCTATGCCCTCTTCTGAGACAATCTGGTCTGCAAGTAATACATTTTTACAGCCGAATAAGGTCAAGGAAACTCATTTCAAAATACAGGTGAAATCCCTGTAATGCATTTCTTAATAAGTGTAAAAAAAGACTTCTCACCACATGTTTTTGTAATCTTGAATCTGAAACTCTCATACATTTATTTTGTAATTGTAAATATTCTGAAGATTTTTGGAAGCAAGTATCTATGATGGTTTTTGATACATTCTACAAAATAATCAGAGCAGATGAGGCTATATCTTCTCGGATTGTCATACTGGCTCAGATATAATTGATAACACATTAAAATCAATAATTCTAGGAAGTTTCATATACATAAAGCTAATGTCTATTAAACCCTCCTAATTTATTTTGTAAAGATCTTAAAATATTCCATGACTCGTTGAATTCAATCAGAAATAGGTGCATAAAAACATCTAAAATAAAAATAAATAGTTTGTAAAATTTAATGTTTTACACTGTACAATGTAAGATATGTTATATGTTTCCCCCAATATCTGTTTGTGTTATGTTTGATGTTAAATGTCTTTGTAAGCTTTTATGAAAGTTAAAAAAAAAAACTATAAATGTGCCTAATTGCAGTTGACCCAATACTGCCATCTAACTTACTGGAGACTAAAAGCTCTCCTCAACCTAAAAGAGTGATTGCTCTAGATATCATATATTTTACATCAAAAAATTGTGGAGGGTTCGGGCGTCCTAAAATGTGTTAAACCTCTTCGACAACTTCAAATAACTTGAGTGAGCTACAAGAGACCCGCTATAGTTGTCTTGGAAAACATTTAATAATTAATGTCTCCACAACAAATTGAAGTCTTTGGGGCCCCCCTTTGCGTTTCTGTTTGGACAAGAATAGCCAGAATGAAACGAGGTAAAATAATGTTATGATTTTATGTATTAAATACTTATTTATATTACATAACCCAATGTAAATATCAAACATTTCTACGTGTTTTCATTCGAACGATATCGGCTGGAATTGTGGAGCGACGAAGTGTGACTGTGACATCATAGATGCTTCCATGCAAGCGTGAAGAGAGATTTGTTTGAGCTGCTTTTAGAGTTTTCGATAGATTTCAATCGCACATTTTTGCTTTTTAAAATCTCCGTTTACTCTTTGCGTCGCAATGATGATTCAGTCAAGGATTTCAAATATACCCTTTTTGGATGGAGCAAACGACATGTTCACAACAACGAACAAGAGCCACTTTAAACCATTTGACAACACCGCCATTCAGAAAAGAAATGTTATACTTCGGCCTGTCTCAACACTTTTACAACGAGGAGACAACAATTACCAGAGAAAGCACCAGACAGAGACAGCGTCGTCCTTCACATCCCATCCACGAACCGTCACACTACCAACGATGACCCACCGCACGATGCAGAGAACCAACTTTAAAATGCATTCTGAGAAAAGGTGTGGAGACTTTGAGACCAACGTTACCCATGCAGACTTCAAGCCCTTACCGATGTCTGCAGCCAAAATAATTCGTCCCACCACCTCAGTCAGGATAAGTCTCCCGGGGAGCAAATTTCCTGAAACTACTCACAGATCCAGTTACACCAAACATGAGGTGTCATCAGACCGCAGGGCAAAGGAAACAGTGAACACAGGTACCCACTGCACACCAAAGTGTGATTGTGCATTAATACTCTCACAGTCCATTGACTTTTGTATTTTATGAGTGGATATAAGATGCTTTCTTTTTATCAACAAGGTGTCGGGTCAACTCTGAAAGAGAACAAAAAGGATGAATTCAGTTCCAGTTATCATGAGCAGTTCCAGTACAGATGGTGTCCTCCTCCACTTCTGTCTGCAGAAAAGGTCATTCTTATTTCTCATTTGCAGTGGTTTCAGAGACAACCAATAATGTTGCAGTTCAATAACATTTTTCTTTCTCTTTTTCGTTCAGCAAAGGATTCAGATTTCATCTGTAGCGATGGGAGACCGAGAACAGAAGCTGGGCAAACAAACAACATATTCCAGCTCTTTCAGTCAATCAGGTGCCCACAGGTACTGTTAACCATCCTGCTTAAACACAAAACATGTATACAACCTAACAGGAAAGCTTTGAATAACGTTTGATAAGACATGGTTGAGAGCAGTGTACATGAGATAGGAAACCTAAAACTTTTTTTTTTTTTTAACAGCTATGCTAGGGAATGTCTGCTTCCCAAGATAAATAAATCCCGGCCCATCAACCTCCGGGAACATGCTGATGAAAAATGGATAACAACATCATCTGAGGAATTTCGTGCACACAAATGTGGTATGTACAATAATTGTATACCATGTTTGTTTGTTTTTTAATGCCATATAATCAGTGTTGGGTGTAACTAATTACTAAGTAATTAGTTACTATAATTTAATTACTTTTCCCTTGAAAATGTAAAGTAAGGGATTACTCTTCATTTATCTGTAATTTAATTACAGTTACTTCTGATGTAATTGAGGTGAATACTGTGTATGGATCAATCTGATCTCAAAGCGATTCGTATGCTTTGAGATCGGAATATGTATGAAAAAAGTGTGAAATGTCATGAGATCAGACATTAAACAATAGTGGGTTTAACATCAAAATGTATTGTCTGATGTTAAAAAGTATGTTTTTATAATGTAACCTTCTCCACCTCTGTTTACTGTAAGGATAATTCATGCAATTGTATAGTATTTATTTGAAAGAATTAAAACAGATTCATGTCTATCCTTGTATTATTCAGCTGGTTTAAATTGATATGGGATTTTGAAAGTAATTGAATACTTTTAGAGAGAGTAATTAGTACAGTAATGTAATTACACGGTTGAAGAGGTAATTAGTAACTAGTAATTAATTACTTTTTTAGAGTAACTTACCCAACACTGCATATAATGTTCTTCAACTATTTAAACTATAAACAATCTAAAGTATTACCTTCGTATTGTAATTAAATGTTATATTTGAATGCATTTTCAGATTGTTATTTCTTAATTATTTAATTTTGCCATCATTTATTTATAATGCAAAGGCAGTTTTATCTGTTCACTGGGCTTTTTGTGCGTGTTAAGGGTAAAAGCATGAGCATGAGCCAGCAGATGGTGCCATTTCAAATAGTCCTGACTAACTTTTGTGAATTTCATGGAGACTTAATCATCAACAAAATCATATTACAGTTTTTTTTTTTTTTTTACAATCACTTTGTACTATTTTCAGAACCTTGATGTCATTTTTCACAACTCTAGACACAAAACTCACAACCAATGATCAAAATGCACATTTTTCAAAACTTTAACCCTTTTCTCAATTGCTTGGATACAATACACATACAACTTAGATCATTTGTTCATTCAACATAAATCACCTGTTCAATATGACACAACTTAACGTCAAAGTACTACTATTTTAAAAGGCAATTCACACATTACATTTCAAATGAGTGTCTATTCATTTCCTTACAATGATCTAATTATCAATTGATACAACTGCTCAAAATGATAAGTAACTGTTGCAGTAAAAAAGCATTGTTGTAATGTATGGAAATAGACACATCTTCCATGTTTACAGTAAATCATGAAAGTATAGCTATACCTATAGAGTGCCGAAGTGATGACGTCACTTTGTAGGACAACTCGGATGCTAGCGCCGCATGGGTTCCCTCGGTCGAAAAGCAATGCATTTTCCCCATAGACTTTTGGAAAATCGCAAAAAAATAAGATCTGTGTTTAACAAAGAGTTGTGACCCTTACACGTTTTGTCTAGCAAGATAATCTTTACACGTTAATCCAAAATTTAAAAGATTTTAAAAAACACAATCAGACACAATAAAGTTTAAAAAAACACAAGCAGGTTATAACTGTGTGTTCTATGTCAGAGATCAATACGTGAAAATATTTAGAGGCTTTGTTCACCACAGACCTTATTTCAGGCGATTTAGCAAAAAACCATTCAAAAATCCCATAGGCTTTAGAGCGAGGGAACCGTAATGCTAAAATGCTAACTCACTTCCGCGTTTTGGCCTACAGAGTGACGTCGTAACTTCGGCACTCTATTAGCGTGAAGCATGAACCAATTCGACTACAATTTCCATGGATGTAGCATAATATTATATATTTTTGTTGTGATTGTAGTGTTTTGCATCAATATATCACACACTTTGTTCAATGATTCCTCTATGTGTGTATTCTCTCTACTACTGCAGTACTTTTACAGAGATGTATATTTACTGTACATGTAGTACCATAATGAAACTTGTATCACCTATTTTGTTCAACAATATTTAATGATTGTACGAACAATGACACAGTGAAACCATCGGTTGCTTGTGTGTGGGTGATCTATAGTTATGTTTCAATGGTATTTCACAGTAAATTTGTTTTTGAACCAATGATTGTGCAAGTGCAAGATTGTGAATGCACCATGCAAAGTTTTGAACATTAGACAGCCTGTGTTACAAGTGATAACCGTTGTGAGTTTTGAAAAATGACATCAAGGTTCTGAAAATAGTAGCAAACTGATTGTAAAAAACTGTATGACATATACATCAAGTGTATAACTTTTTTTTTTTTTAAACTTTACCTCTTTTTTTTTTTTCACCAGGCCCTATTCACCTTGAGCGCCGAGACCCGAACCTCAGCTCTGTGTTCAAAGGAGAGATACTTGAGGGCAACCAGGAGAGACTGTCAACAACAAACCAGTGCTACTTCCCAAAGGTGTGACCTGTTGCATCTTGCCTCATGCTTGAAGATCTAAATACAAAGTATGTCTTTCCTAACTGAGCAGTGTTTTCTTTATCAGATAGACCGCACTCAGTTCCCAGAGCATGTGGATGGATCTGGTATCAGGACTTTAAGCAATGTAAAATTTGGGCAGCCTGATCTGGCTGGATGTTTCTACAGTACGACATCACAGGAGCAGTTCCCATCAAAAGAAGTGGACCGTCCCAAACCACCCATCTACCCACCTAGCTATGTGCTGCGTGAGCAAGGTACTTTTGGGCTACTAACCTGCATTTTCACATTGGACAGTCACCTAAAATGACCTCCTCACATTGGATATTGTCAAATATTGTCAGGTTGATTCAGCATTTTATATATATATATATATATATATATATATACATAAAATGCTGAATCAACCTGACAATTCAGCATTTGTCATATATATATATATGAAGAGTTCAGATGCAAAAGCCTCTAAATGCCATTTGAAATTTTCTTCTTTAATGATGATTTTTGTCAAGCTTGTATATTTAAGTTCAGTTATTTCACTTAAATGGCAATGGTAATTACCTATTAATTGTTATTTAAGTGAAATTACTGAACTTGAATATACAAGTTTGATAAAAATCATCATTAAAGAAGAAAATTTCAAATGACATTTAGAGGCTTTTGCATCTGAACTCTTCATATATATATATATATTATAGAGAGAGAGAGAGAGAGAGAGAGAGAGAGAGAGAGATTTATAGATATATGTGTGTGTGTGTGTATTTAATAGATTTTTTAATAGATTATAAGAAGTTAACATTTAAATGGTACTACAAGAATATTTTAGATTATCTACCAAAAGAAAATATGAAATTACATTCTTAAAAAAAATAAAAATATACTCCAAAAATAATATCAATTATTTCTCTGATCTTGTTTTTTAGAGCCAGATCAGATGCTTTCAACTATGCAACAAGATTTTGTCCCCCTGAACTCTAGAAGACAGGAACTGAGCCCTATCCAGCTTCAGCAGGTGAAATTTCACAATATTGACATTTCACAGCAGATAAACTCCAGCTCACTGGTTTCACATTTATTCGACATTGGTCTGTTTTTACACTGTCTTGAAATGTGAGATGGGCATTGGCTCTTCTGGTGGTGCTAAAGTTTGGTTAAAACCATGTGATAAGTAATTTTAAAACTTAAAAGTCTCCATAAAACTGGAACTGTTTTCCCACTTTGGGGGATTGTACAGTATAATAGTTGTTCAATTACCTTGCCAACAACCTTAAGGGTTCCCTTTTTTGACCGACGAATACAGGCTACTTTATTCTTCTGTTATGGATGGTTATTATCTTTTAGCCTGATAATACCAGACTCTGCTACTTCACTTTGCTTCATACACAGCGAAATGAAATTAGTGGAAGTAGGAAGTCTGATGTAGTCTTTCACACAGGCGCAAAATACACATACTATTTGGCCATCGGTTGTAGTTTTTGCAGAATTTTTAAGCTTCACTTTTTTTGCCCAGATGCAGCCAAGGTGCTAGTTTGTGTCTGCTAGTTCTTTGACTTAGGTTTGCTACAAGTTTACTTAGTTTAGAGCTGATCTTGACCTTGTACTAATCTCTTTCTAGGTTAAAAACTGTCATATCAGGCCCTGGCACAGCAAACAAGACTTCAGGACAACCCACAATGAAGCTTTTGTGCCCAAGCCCTACTGCAAGGCATCCCTGGACAACCCACCCCTACAACACATCAGCCATATGCCATTTTAAGTTGAAAAACTTCATTTCAAATGTATAGTTTATTCAAGTCTTAGCACAGGACAATGAATCGCAGTTGACAAAATCCAGCTCAACTCCATCATAAAATAAAAGCAAATAGAAACTGCTACCGCTGCTGGTGTCCCTTGTATCCTCTGGTGCTCTTGGAAGGGCTGAAAGTTCATACAAATTGGAAAGAAATCCAAGTCCAGGCACTCAGGGTTACAAAAGTGAAAAAGGCCTTTATTTAACAATATCGAGGGCTAAACCATTATAAAACACCAACGCGTATCGGCCAATACGCGTTGGTGTTGGTGTTTTTTTTTTTTATGGTTTAGCCCTCGATATTGTTAAATAAAGGCCTTTTTCACTTTTGTAACCCTGAGTGCCTGGACTTGGATTTCTTTCCAATTTTTATGAACTTTCAGCCCTTCCAAGAGCACCAGAGGATACAAGGGACACCAGCAGCGGTAGCAGTTTCTATTTGCTTTTATTTTATGATGGAGTTGAGCTGGATTTTGTCAACTGCGATTCATTGTCCTGTGCTAAGACTTGAATAAACTATACATTTGAAATGAAGTTTCAAACTTCGCTCCAGCTTCCTTTTGTTTAGAAACAATTACTATTTGTTATTTGTGTGTCATGTTTTATGTCAAACACTATTTGTGCAGACCTTTTTGCTTTTGACTTTTTAAACATTAAAATATTAAACTTTCAAAGCATCACTTTTTTCTATGTGTGCTCTCTGTAGAACCTTAAAGGGTCCTGCCAGTCGCTTCATATATAGAATCGACGGCTCGTGAACATATGTCATCACTAAAAAAAATTAAATAACCTGTTAAACACTAAAGTATTATGCAAACATTTAGTACATAGTTTAACCCAAAAATTACATTTCTGTCATTTACTCATCCTCTAGTTGTTCCAAAGTGTCTTTCATCTGTCTAACATAAAAGATGATATTTTGAAGAATATGGGTAACCAAACAGTCGATTGGCCCACTTGACTTCCATGGTCTGAAAAAAAAAAAAAAAAAGAAATACCATGGAAGGTCCATCAACTGTTTGGTTACTAACATTCTTCAAAATATCATCTTTTGTATTCAGCAGAAGAAAGAAATTCACACAGGTTTGGAACAACTTGAGGGTGAGTATTTTCATTTCAATTTCAACTATCCCAATCCAAACTATCCCTACATTTTTTTATTATTACAGTAATTATAAAGTATTTTTACAAGCTGTATACAGGTCATAGAATTGAATAAAATATATAAAAACAATTAATTAATTGTAACTAAATCCATTAAATGATCAATTAGTCAAGAACGTTACAGGTGTGTGTATGGAAGCTCAAGGTTAAATGGCAATCCAGAGCTCATGGTATTAATGATTACAAGAATTGTGTCAGATGGCGACTAACTCTCTGACCTCACATGGCACATTTGGACCATTTATGGCATGTGTAAAATATCATGGGGGAGTGTCAGGGGTTAAATGCTGCTGTCTGCCAGTGTAGGTTAGGTTTGTGTACTTATGTGGCATGATCCTCTACCTGCACCATTTTTAAATGACCTGTGTGTGTTATCAAACCATGTTGGAGTAATAGTGCCATGTCAAATTCAACCTTGCATTCTCACACTCTAAACTACAAACACAAAATCTACTCCTGTTACAGCAACCTTGAACTTGAGCTTTTTGGTATTTATGTAAACACCAGTTCAACATTTACTTGTTAACTCGTGTAAATGGCACATGTGTGTGGCGGAGGCCATAACGACAATATTAAAAGTCCTCATACTTTGTAAGTTTCAGTTTTATTGTTTGTATTTGTCCCTCTTGTTTTAATGACAGTACTCGTGCTGCTTGTGTTTAGACTGAGGCATTTGAAATAGAGCTGAATATTAAATAGCCCTTTTCTAGCTCATTATCTTATTTACTTATTTTAAACCCTTTTCACGTTTCCGGGTTTCTCAGAAGACGAAGTCGTCCTGCTGTGGTAAAATTCTAACGCAGTGAATGGCAGAGTACCATAGACAGCAGACTACATATTTTTTTGTGTTCCCATTTGCTCAAAGAGAAAAAAAGAAAAAAGAAAAAAAACGGGTAAAAGCGTAAGTAAATGTAACATAAAAATTAAATACAGTGTTATAAATGTGCATCTCTTTCAGACATTAAAAATATCTAGATAAATTTGAAGGAAATACGATGCTGATGACCGTTAAAACCATAGTAAAAAAAAAACTGTTACAAAAAATGAAAACCTTTCTGGTGAAAATTTAAAATCTTGTGAAAATAATTGAAATAATGTGAAAAATTAAAAAGCATTGTAAAAATATGATATTTGAAAGGTATAGAGAGGATGAAGATTATTAGTTAGGTGATAGTTTATTTATATATTTTTCTCTTTTTTTCTCTCTCTTATTATTATTATTAGTTTTTATTTATTTTCTCTTATGTAATTTTTATTTTATTTTTTGAAGATGTATAGACACATAGGTAGATATGTATGTTGTTTTTGTTTTTGGTGTTTAGAGACAAATAGATCAAAATATTCGGTCAACCGGTTAATTAGTTATAATTAGTTGAAGATGGGGTAGGATTGAATAAGCTTATGCTTCTTCCTACTCCTTTTCGGACAGTTAAAAAAAAAAAAAATTGTTGTTGTTTTTATTTATTTATTTTTTTTTCTCTTTGTTTTATGTATTGTTTGTTTGTTTTTTGTTTTCTACGTGTTCGAAATAAAAACTTTTCATTCATTCATTCATTCAAAATAAATCAATACATCTGCTCAGAGGCATGTTAACGTTAGAGAATGGGCGTGGTTACATCCCCAAAAGGGCGTGTGTCTGGTTCTTATTGGTCCACAATCGAAATTGGGTGGTCACCAAACAACAGACCGAGTACTGTACATTTAACTTTTACTCTCGTTGTGTGTTGTGACCTTTTACAGTCTATGGTTGTGACCTGTACGCAGTTTGTGGGTTTTGAAAGTGAAAGGTATGTTCTTGTTTTGTTTTGACCTTGCTGTATTGTCACCTATGTAATTAGCAACGTTTTTATCTGGTTAACAATAAATATGAGACTGTAACGGAGTTAGAATTAAGTAGGCTATTCTTGCATTGGTATCTTCAAATGAAGGATGATTTAAAAACGTCTCTAATCACAAGAGATGCACACATCGATTATTCTTTTGGCTTAAGCTATATTATTTTGTGCTTCATAGGCATGGCTTTCCAAAGCTTCAAACTCTTTGCTCTTGAGCTGGACGGCCCGGATGATACCGTGTACAGCAGTGGAGAGATGGTCACTGGCGTAGTGATCCTGGAGCTCAACCGGGAAATCAAAGTCCGAGCCATGAGAGTGCTGGGAAGAGGGGTCGCCACAGCCCACTGGCTGGAAAATCGCAGTGTCGGCGTGAACGCCGTCTATAACGACTACACATCCAAGACAATTTATTTCAGGAAGAGACAGCACCTTATCCGAGGTGGGTTTGCATGGATTTTTCCACTCCCTCCATATTTAAAAGTGTAGTTCAATCAAAAAACTATTTTATTTTAATTCTGTGCAACAAAAAAGATAAATGAGCTTTCTATGAACTTAAAATGAAGACTAAATGCCAATGTTTGTCGCAAACGCAGCACAAAATCAACAGGCTATATTTTAAAAATCATAAAACTCGTGCAGAATCAGAGCATTTATAAAAAAATAATAAACAAACGCTTTGGTTGTTATTTATAGCTGTGAATGGTTGTAGAACAGTAGGCTAGAACCAGATTAATCAGTCTGAATTGTGCACGATTTTTTTCCCCGACTCTAATTCGAATGAGTCTTTCGTACACGAAAAAGTGGACATTTCGCTACTTCTCGCATGTATAATTTGACGTGAATCCACAATGATTAGGGCAGATATCAGTGTTGTCAATGAATAACGACGTAGCCCTATGGCTCCAACGGCTTATAGTGGGCTAATCATACAAAGCTAACCATTTTTGGTTTCCAAAACATTCTGGGAAAGAGTTTCTGGTTCCCAGAACAGACCTCCTAACATCTTCTGTTGGATAGCCAGGAAAGTTTTCTTCACGTAAATAAAACATTCCCTGTTTGGAGGATGTTCCCCTAACATTCAGTTCCCAGAACGTTGTTATTTGGTTCCGAAAAAAATAAAAAATAAAAAAATAACAGTAGGCCTACCATATGTGAATGTTGGGGGAACGTTCTGTGTTTGCTGTAAAAGGACCACTTTTGATGATATTTAGCCCTTTTTAAGGCTTGACATCTTCAGGTCAACATTATTGTTATAGAAAATGACAATTAAACACAGCCATACAGGTTTGTAGGCTATTAATAGGATGAGTAAATGGTGAACTGTCCCTTTAAGGCTTTAAAGCTCTTAATGCAAGAGATGTTTAACCACTCTAGCCCCAGCTTCTTCTTCCTGACCTTTAATAGCTGGCACAGGAGTGATAATGCTGAGCAAGTGTGTGATGTGGTTAATTATTCAACGGTTTAGGTGGAATACACACGCGACCAACTGCACTACACAAACCAAATGCCTCTCAGAAAGGTGATAAAAGCACAGCTATTGTTATTAAAATTAAGTCACAGTAAATGTCACTTATGGGTTGATGTTAATAGAACAGAGCGATTTACAGGTAATCAGGTCATGTTTTACGGCTCTAATATTTAAAAACATAACATAACATGATAAAGATTTTGTGACCATTTCATTTCAGTAGTTTGTCAATTTCACAATGTGATATCTATTGTATAAAGTAGCTATAGTTTTAAACGCATTAAATGTTGGTGTCGATCTGTACACACCTTAAAATGTTATGGTGTACAGATTGACACCAACCATTGAATGCGTTTAAAACTAGCTACCACCTCAGATCCTCTTGATTGTTGCTAACAATGCAAATTATACAACAGTATGAATAGACAATATAATTCGATAATTTTCATTTTTTATAATTTTCATTTTTATAATTTTCATTTAGTCAGTAAAATCAGCTGAGTGGGCTCTTTCTGTGTGTGTGTGTGTGGTGGTGTTTTTTTTTTTTTTTTTTTTTTTTTTACAAGTTATCATAATATAAACAGAATCCACTCAAACTTGTCTTTTTGGTGATA